AGCAGTTCTCTATTCGTACTATCTCTAGCTGTACTATACCTAGCCCATCTCTAGCTGCCCTCTGGCCATGCTATCTCTAGCCCATCCATAGCCTTACTCTAGCCAACCGTACTATCTCTAGCCTTATTATCTGTAGCAAATCTCTAGCCGTCCTTTAGCCGTACTATATCTAGCCGTACTATAGCTAGCTTTGCTATCTGTATCCGATCTCTAGCCGTCCTCTAGCCGCACTAGCCATACTATCTCTAGCCATACGTTTTCTAGCCTATCTCTAGCCGTCCCCTAGCCATACTTTCTCTAGCCATACGTTTTCTAGCCCATCTCTAGCCGTCCTCTCGCCGTACCATATCTAGCCATACTATATCTAGCCCATCTCTAGCCGTCTTCTACCAATACTATATCTACCCATCTCTAGCCGTCTTGTAGCCGTGCTATCTCTAGCCAATCTATATACGTTATCTAGCTGTTCTATCTCTAGATGTCCTCTAGCCGTGCTATCTCGAGCCCATCTCTAGCCTTACTCTAGCCGTACTATCTCTAGCCTTACTATCTGTAGCTAATCTCTAGCCGTCCTTTAGCCGTACAATATCTATCCTTACTATCTTTATCCGATCTCTAGCCGTCCTCTAGCAATACTATCTCTACCCATCCCGAGCCGTCTTGTAGCCGTACTATCTCTATCCATATTATATCTAGCCCATCTCTAGCCTTCCTCTAGCCGTACTATATTTAGCCCATCTTTAGACGTCGTCTAGCCGTACTATCTCTATCCATACTATATCTAGCCCATCTCTAGCCTTACTCTAGCCGTACTATCTTTAGCCCATCTTTAGACGTCATCTAGCCGTACTATCTCTACCCATACTATATCTAGCCCATCTCTAGCCGTCCTATATTCATACTATATCTAGCCCATCTCTAGCCTTACTCTAGCCATACAATCTTTAGCCCATCTTTAGACGTCATCCAGCCGTACTATCTCTATCCATACTATATCTAGCCCATCTCTAGCCTTACTCTAGCCATACTATCTTTAGCCCATCTTTAGATGTCATCTAACCGTACTATCTCTATCCATACTTTATCTAGCCCATCTCTAGCCGTCTTTTAGCAGTACTATATCTAGCCCATCTCTAGCCTTACTCTAGCCGTACTATCTTTAGCCCATCTTTAGACGTCATCCAGCCGTACTATTTCTATCCATACTATATCTAGCCCATAGCTAGGCGTTCTCTAGCCGTACTATATCTAGCACATCTCTAGCCTTACTCTAGCCGTACAATATCTATCCTTACTATCTTTATCCGATCTCTAGCCGCCTTCTAGCAATACTATCTCTACCCATCTCGAGCCGTCTTGTAGCCGTACTATCTCTATCCATATTATATCTAGCCCATCTCTAGCCTTCCTCTAGCCGTACTATATTTAGCCCATCTTTAGACGTCGTCTAGCCGTACTATCTCTATCTATACTATATCTAGCCCATCTCTAGGCGTTCTCTAGCCGTACTATATCTAGCACATCTCTAGCCTTACTCTAGCCGTACTATCTTTAGCCCATCTTTAGACGTCATCTAGCCGTACTATCTATATCCATACTATATCTAGCCCATCTCTAGCCGTCCTATATTCATACTATATCTAGCCAATCTCTAGCCTTACTCTAGCCATACTATCTTTAGCCGATCTTTAGATGTCATCTAGCCGTACTATCTCTATCCATTTTTTATCTAGCCCATCTCTAGCCGTCTTTTAGCCGTACTATATCTAGCCCATCTCTAGCCTTACTCTAGCCATACAATCTTTAGCCCATCTTTAGATGTCATCTAGCCGTACTATCTATATCCATACTATAGCTAGCCCATCTCTAGCCTTACTCTAGCCGTACTATCTTTAGCCCATCTTTAGACGTCATCTAGCCGTACTATCTATATCCATACTATATCTAGCCCATATCTAGCCTTACTCTAGCCATACTATCTTTAGCCCATCTTTAGATGTCATCTAGCCGTACTATCTCTATCCATACTTTATCTAGCCCATCTCTAGCCGTCTTTTAGCCGTACTATATCTAGCCCATCTCTAGCCTTACTCTAGCCATACTATCTTTAGCCCATCTTTAGACGTCATCTAACCGTACTATCTCTATCCATACTATATCTAGCCCATCTCTAGGCGTCTTTTAGCCGTACTATCTCTATCCATATTATATATAGCCCATCTCTAGGCGTCCTATATTCATACTATATCTAGCCCATCTCTAGCCTTACTCTAGCCATACTATCTTTAGCCCATCTTTAGACGTCATCTAACCGTACTATCTCTATCCATACTATATCTAGCCCATCTCTAGGCGTACTCTAGCCGTACTATATCTAGCCCATCTCTAGCCTTACTTTAGCCGTACTATCTTTAGCCCATCTTTAGATGTCATCTAGTCGTACTTTCTCTATCCATACTTTATCTAGCCCATCTCTAGCCGTCTTTTAGCCGTACTATATCTAGCCCATCTCTAGCCTTACTCTAGCCCTACTATCTTTAGCCCATCTTTAGACGTCATCTAGCCGTACTATCTCTACCCATACTATATCTAGCCCCTCTCTAGGCGTACTCTAGCCGTACTATATCTAGCCCATCTCTACCCTTACTCTAGCCGTACTATCTTTAGCCCATCTTTAGATGTCATCTAGCCGTACTATATTTATCCATACTATAGCTAGCCCATCTCTAGCCTTACTCTAGCCGGACTATCTTTAGCCCATCTTTAGACGTCATCCAGCCGTACTATCTCTATCCATACCATATCTAGCCCACCTCTAGGCGTTCTCTATCCATACTATATCTAGCCCACTTCTAGGCGTTCTCTATCCATACTATTTCTAGCCCATCTCTAGACGTACTATATCCATACTATATCTAGCCCATCTCTAGGCGTACTCTAGCCGTACATAATTGAGGTCATTGCTAGGTCATATTTACATTGTGGTACATGCAGAGCTGGTCATTAGCCCTTACCAACCATTAAGTCCATAAACCTATCATTAATAATAATGGTACATGCGTAGTTGGTCATTAGATTATATACAGATATATAACTGTGTCACAAGACACTCGCTTTCCGGAGTTGTCGTTCCTCTTAATAAGATGAGTTGTAGGACCGATACCAAGTTTGTTTAGGGATTGGTAGTAGACAGTAGTAGGGGGAAAGTACACAAATAGTAAATATAAATGCGTACTGTAAAACTTCAGAATACATTTCGTTCTGGTTTACAAACTTTTGTTGAACTTCTTTAACATAAAATCCACCACAAAATATCTTCACAGTCGCCCTACAAGTCTAGGTGTATTTCAAAACTATGTATACACAGTGCATACTGAGGCTTAATTATAAACTAGGTATACACAGTGCATACTGAGCCTTAATTATAAACTATGTATACACAGTGCATAATGAGGCTTAATTATAAACTAGGTATACACAGTGCATAATGAGGCTTAATTATAAACTATGTATTCACAGTGCATACTGAGGCTTAATCATAAATTAGGTATACACAGTGCATACTGAGGCTTAATTATAACCTAGGTATACACAGTGCATATTGAGGTTTAATCATAAACTAGGTATACACAGTGCTTACTGAGGTTTAATCATAAACTAGGTATACACAGTGCATACTGAGGTTTAATCATAAATTAGGTATACACAGTGCATACTGAGGCTTAATTATAACCTAGGTATACACAGTGCATATTGAGGTTTAATCATAAACTAGGTATACACAGTGCATACTGAGGTTTAATTATAAACTAGGTATACATAGTGCATACAGAGGTTTAATCATAAACTAGGTATACACAGTGCATAATGAGGCTTAATTATAAACTAGGTATACACAGTGCATACTGAGGCTTAATTATAAACTAGGTATACACAGTGCATACTGAGGCTTAATTATAAACTAGGTATACACCGTGCATACTGAGGCTCAATTATAAACTATGCCATATGATATGTATCGCTCTACTGCTAGCGTGCAAATTCTCATGACACAAACAGTTTAAAGGTCACAACGCGAACTTCTACACAAGCGAACATTTGGACAGCTATTTATATTTTACTATGTGTCGATATACACACCCTTAAATGTTAAAAACGATAGATTGGAATCTGTTATAAGGGGAAATATACGTAAATCTTAGTTTTTAAAAATAACATATGTATGCTAATTAAACAGGCAGCATAATGTATAGTAGTTGATATTGGATGCGGATTTATATTCGCTATGTTTGCGGCCACCAAATATGGGGCAAAATAAAATACCAAGCCAAGATTGATACCGGGAATTAAAATATATGTGAATATGTACATACAAGAAAAGGATCTGTTCCCATAACTACTGAGTAATGAAAATAGGAAAAACATCAATTTCGCTATCTAATTTATATTCAAAAAACACTCGAAAAATAAATCCCATCACCAACATACAAAATTACCCTCATGCATGCGTTATTTGTAACTCCTGCGAACTTATTTGTGATCTGGACAACCGCGAAATATTAGCCCCACGGACTTAAACAACTACACATTACGTAAACTTATAAACGTCTTTCCATTAATGAAGGTCACTTGAGGAAGGAAGCTTTAAGAGGCCATGCAAAAAGGAAAGAGAAGAAATTTGAGAATATTAATCCATATTGTTGATAAGGAAACAAAGCAGATCAATTATGGTTTCTTTAAAATCCCCTAAAAAAAGCAGCGTGAGTCAATCATATAAATCTCCCGCGACGACCTTTTTAGGGAATGCAAGTGGATGCTATCAGTTATACAGGCGCTGGGGATAGGCTGAAACCCACTACGTTCCCCACTGGCGAAAGTCTTACTCACCGAAAATTCCCTGGTTTACATTTTCTGGCATGTACAATGAGTGTTATTTAAAGACCTAGATACTCATAGTATAAATGGAACTAATTTTAATAAAGTGAACATTTGTCTTGCAGTCATGTCGCCATGGCAACAGGAAAGAAACCAGCTCCAGATAATTTATCCCCCGAAATACTGCAAGCCGTGGAGAAAGGGGATGTAGCGCGATTCAACAAATGCGTGAAAAAAGGCGCAAACGTTTTAGGGTTAGATAAAAATGGATGGAACATTCTTCATCACATTGGCTATCACAACAAGTATGCGTTTTATAGAAGCATCGTGCTGGAACACACACAGATCACAACACTGATACATCAAACGGCAAATGACGGATCCACGCCCCTTATGATGTCCTGTAAGCCGATCCCTCCCGACATTCGTTTGATTGACGCATTCGTGCGGCTGGGTGGAGACCTCCTTTACAGAGATTCACATGGACGGTCATGTACTGACGTCACTTCCGACAGAAACACGCGCAACTACCTGTCTTGGAGAAGGCTACATACGACTGGTGAGTGCAAAATATTTATAACGGAAATTATAGACAGTCATCTGAATAGAAAGTTAAGAATGACACTTACCTACGAACGGACAAGACAGACTAATAAAATGTATTACCTGTAACTGAGCGAGATCGGGTTATCTCAGTCGAGGGTTAATATTCTGTAACAAATACCAACCGAGGCGGAAGCTAAGGTTGGGACGTTACAGAATCTTAGCTCGAGACTGAGATAACCCGATCTTGCTCAGTTACAGGTAAAAAAAAATATGTTCGAACCTGTTAGTTCGAAAAACAAAATGTTTTGCTGAAAAACTTCAAGTATCTGGTGCCTCAAATGATAATGACCTCTTCCCTACTTAATATTCATTTGAATGCTTCCGCGTAAAAATGTAGTCCGTTCTTACATAGATAACAACGTATTTCACAGTGTAGACTATATTTTATCTACAACACCAAATATCTAACAACATCAAAACTATACATATAACAACAAACTAGAACGTTTATAATGCAAATTGTCAATTTCAAGCAGTTAACGCGCGAATGAATACATCGCAGTGTAAAAATTCCGCGAAATGTCACGTAAAAGTGCAAGACAGATAAGACGAGATAGATAAATCTAGCATGGGGTATGAAGTGGGATATCTCTGTCGGAGGAGCGAGAATACTGTTTACCCGGAAATTTCGCTGGAGCTCAATGTTCGCCTTTTCCGCCTTGCGTAATGAGGGCGAATGTATCACTACAGTGAATATAAGAAAACAATATATTATTCATAGTAACTAAATGTGAGGGGCGAAACTAGCACTGGGCGAATGTGGATTTCACCGACGAAGGGCGAACGTTTGACTGGGCGAAAACTTCCCGGTATACAGTACATCAGACACTTATATCTGATCGGTTAAGAGAGAGATATATCCGAACGGTGAAAAGACAAACATCAGAAAGCTAAAAGAAAAATTATTTCCGGGTGGTAAGGGTTATTCGGGTAACACAAAACTTGAAAAGAAAGAAAACGCAGTAATACTTGTACAGGAATTAATAAATGTGTGTATGTGTCCAATTTGTAGCATATGGGATACGATTTCCATATTTTATATTGTTGTATATATTTATAAACGAGCGCCTTTTTATCGCGTTTTATTTGTTATTATAAATCAATTATTAATCCATTGATGACAACTAAAATATTCAGTAAATGCTGTATACCCGAGGAGTTTCGCTGTAGATTGATTTTCGCCTGTTTCGCCCTCCGTAATAACCCAGAAAATGTATGATATATATATATATCTTTAAACTTCAGATAAATAATAAGCGACTGTTTTACATTTAGCCCATATATTGATTGTTTCTAATTATGTCTTTGTCCTATTCAAAAGTCCGACCTATGTTGCTAGAGACGCCAAGATTCACATCCTCTTTTTATTTTGATGTTTGCCATGGAAAAACTGAAATGTAGATAAAGCAAAATTTAAACAAAACCAATATTTCAATTAAAACAATTTTAATAGAAATGTGTTCAATGTTACGATATATTCTTGAAAAATCGCATTTGCATGAGCTTGAAATATAACTGAACTACATTGTGACAAATTACACATGTTCATTTTGTTTGTATTAAGGTAATTTACTGTTGAGCCGCCATTTGTTATTAGGACTTCCTGATGCAGTCTTGGAGGAACAGTCCACTCCGAAGAATGACGTCATCATGCAGTTTCTACGATCCTTTACTTACATGGACGACACGTTTGCAGATAGGTTCGAGAAAGAACTGAAAAAGAAAAAAGAAAAGTCTGCAAACATTCGTATCATATTTCTTGGACATGAAGGAGTAGGGAAGACAACTCTTTGCCATTGGTTGATCGGTCAGAAGGTCAAGGACGGCGGGCCGGGGTCAACTGATACCATGGAAGTGAATCTTAGTCACCTGATGATCAACAAGGCGACAGGGGAGGTAGTGTTTTTGCCAGAACATGATGTTGGGAGAACCCTTTGTCATAGGAGACTCAGAGATATGGTAGGGAATTTAACATTGTCAGGTACGTGTTGTCGTTTCGAAGCATTCCACATGTGATCATTGTAACGTTGTCCAACCTATGCTAAATAGTGGGGTTAGTTGCCATCACATAACACTACTTACTTGCACAAGAAAGATATGTAGCATGCATGGTTGCGTGTTTGAGTTTGTTTTTGTGTGTTTGTTTGTTTTCTGTTTAGCGTCCTCGAAACAGCCAGGGTAAAGTCGGCATCAGATCTGCACTCTCACAATAAGGCAATTACACCATCATACCCGGTACACATTCACATATGCTATCATATACCAACACAAATGTAGGCACGTCCTTGAACGACTTTAGCTATTAATGGGAGGTTCAAACCCTATGCACCACCAACCAACCAAATCATACGAGGACGGTCGTCTAGGGAGACATAGCTTGAAACAGAAAGAAAATGAAAATATAGGAGACAGGAAAGAAAGGAAACGACAAAAATCAAATGTATGGCAATGAGGGCAGCATATCATTTTTGGTCTCATTCATGTTCCCTTGGTAGAGGACACGGAAGAAAACCCCAGAATATGTAGGGGGCCCAACATTATTCGCCTTTTACGGTACGCATGCTGTGGGAAACAGCAGGTATTTTCTGCATTCGAACCTGCAAAGGTTGAAGGTTTGAGACTAATGGGCACAGTATGCCAGAACCGAGTTAATGGACCTAGAAATGTCTTTTTTATAATATTCAATTTTAACTTTAATTTTACAAAAATGCCAAAAATAAATAATCAAAAATAAGTAAAATAAATATACAGCAATAAAATAGAACAAAAAAAAAACAATAAATGAATCACTAACATGATTAATCAATAATAATAAACATAAATATCAAATTGTTGATACTTAGAAACATACCAATACACGTGTAAATGCTTAATAAGATAACATACATAAACCTTGTGAACTTTGTACGTATTTAAGTAAGATTTTCCTTTAACTCAGATATGCCACCACAGAGAGAAAACAACTGTTTCATTGGAGATATGGCCTACGTAAACATCTTCGACTTCGGTGGAGAATCGTTGTTCACCAACTTCCAACACATATTTCTGAATGATGATGCTGTGTTTATCCTCGTCTTCAGCTTGCACAACTGTCTTGATGAGCTGGCAATTGTGGGTATGTAAATAAGCTACAAATTGACCACAAACAGTATTTTTTCCCCCTAGTATTTAACTACTGTTTGTGTTCCAATTGATGAATCTCATTCCGAATACAAAAGAAAAAAAAATTCTTTTCTGCAAAATTGATTATTTTAATCTTAAAAGTGATCAATAGTTTTACCGTTTCAAAACAACTCTTATATCCGTGAATCGAAGTGACTTTTAAATTTGATCATATATTGCGATATAATGATGATTTTCTTGACTAATGTATATTTGTATTTTCTTTTTTAAGTAAACCACTAGTTCATTATATATCCGTAAAACATTTGAAGTCTTTGCAATGAAGTATACTTAGGTTAAAAGTTTGTGTACACTACAACGACCTCATTTATGATTATTTGTGGATACTTTTGTCATTAACTACTTTTCTTTCTTGAAATTCAGGATATAGTTTTCAGTAATCACTTCGATAGAAATTACTTACAGGAAATGAAAAATCATTTGAATACAAATTTCTCCCGAGATTCACCGCTGCCATCATATACCTGCTTGTGAAAACATTATAAGACTCTTTCGTATTCAGGATAGGGAAATTCCACCCGAGGGTTTTTCAAATTTGTTAAAACTCGAGGCTCTACCCAAGGGCATAAAATAGTATTTTACTCTCATTCCAACCACCCGAATAAGCTTAGAAATCTAAAAAAATGCGTTTGGACTGGACCCCTTCACCCCTTTCTTACCTTGCTCAGCTCTATCTTACACACAGGGACATAAGAGAAAAACCTGTATTTACCTAGCTAGCAAAAGAACGTGCTATTAATATTGAAAGTGTCAGTATCGCGTCATCACTCGGTGCAGCGTCATCAGAGTAGCATCATCATTTTTCCACACAGGTTAAGCGCGGTGATGGTGCGGTTCATTGCGTTTACCGTTGCATTTCTTTTCTCGTTAGAGGTTGGACAAAATTCATGTTTTCGATTTACCGATCGTTATAGACTATTGTTTGTCTAAATAAGATTTGTATTACCTGTTACCGATCCGAGCTCTTTAATAGTCTACATTCAATTTAGGTATAAGTACCATTCTATAAAACACTAATAATGCAAGGCACATTAACACTAGTCATGTGTCTGAACAGACAGAGTCTACTTCTGGCTGAAATTCATCGCCTCATATTCACATGGGAAGTACAAGCCTCCGGTCATTCTTGTTGGAACCCACATGGACAAAATTCCACCCGTAAGTTAACCTTAATCTTATTTAACCTACTTTTGTTAGATCCTTAATCCTTATTTTGTAAGAACCAATGTACCTAAGTTTATCGATAAATCTCGCATTTTCAGATCCATTAACATAACTTTGTTACATCAATAAACCTGACGTTGTTGAATTTATCAACATCACATTGTTAGATTCACAAACCTCACTTTGTTAGATCCAAAAAACTAAATTTGTTAGACCCACAAACCTAACTTTGTTAGATCCACTATTATCACTTTGTTAGATCCACTATTATAACTTTGTTCAATCCACAAACATCACTTTGTCAGATCCACTATTATAACTTTGTTAGATCCACTATTATAACTGTGTTAAATCCACAAACATCACTTTGTAAGATCCACTATTATAACTGTTAAATCCACAAACACCACTTTGTTAGTTCCAATGTTATTATTTTGTTAGATCAACTAGTATCACTTTGTTAGATCCACTATTATAACTGTGTTAAATCCACGAACCTCACTTTGTTAGATCCACTATTATAACTTTGTTAAATCCACAAACCTCACTTTGTTAGATCCACTATTATAACTTTGTTAAATCCACAAACCTCACTTTGTTAGATCCACTATTATAACTTTGTTAAATCCACAAACCTCACTTTGTTAGATCCACTATTATAACTTTGTTAAATCCACAAACCTCACTTTGTTAGATCCACTATTATAACTTTGTTAAATCCACAAACCTCACTTTGTTAGATCCACTATTATAACTTTGTTAAATCCACAAACCTCACTTTGTTAGATCCACTATTATAACTTTGTTAAATCCACAAACCTCACTTTGTTAGATCCACTATTATAACTTTGTTAAATCCACAAACCTCACTTTGTTAGATCCACTATTATAACTTTGTTAAATCCACAAACCTCACTTTGTTAGATCCACTATTATAACTTTGTTAAATCCACAAACCTCACTTTGTTAGATCCACTATTATAACTTTGTTAAATCCACAAACCTCACTTTGTTAGATCCACTATTATAACTTTGTTAAATCCACAAACCTCACTTTGTTAGATCCACTATTATAACTTTGTTAAATCCACAAACCTCACTTTGTTAGATCCACTATTATAACTTTGTTAAATCCACAAACCTCACTTTGTTAGATCCACTATTATAACTTTGTTAAATCCACAAACCTCACTTTGTTAGATCCACTATTATAACTTTGTTAAATCCACAAACCTCACTTTGTTAGATCCACTATTATAACTTTGTTAAATCCACAAACCTCACTTTGTTAGATCCACTATTATAACTTTGTTAAATCCACAAACCTCACTTTGTTAGATCCACTATTATAACTTTGTTAAATCCACAAACCTCACTTTGTTAGATCCACTATTATAACTTTGTTAAATCCACAAACCTCACTTTGTTAGATCCACTATTATAACTTTGTTAAATCCACAAACCTCACTTTGTTAGATCCACTATTATAACTTTGTTAAATCCACAAACCTCACTTTGTTAGATCCACTATTATAACTTTGTTAAATCCACAAACCTCACTTTGTTAGATCCACTATTATAACTTTGTTAAATCCACAAACCTCACTTTGTTAGATCCACTATTATAACTTTGTTAAATCCACAAACCTCACTTTGTTAGATCCACTATTATAACTTTGTTAAATCCACAAACCTCACTTTGTTAGATCCACTATTATAACTTTGTTAAATCCACAAACCTCACTTTGTTAGATCCACTATTATAACTTTGTTAAATCCACAAACCTCACTTTGTTAGATCCACTATTATAACTTTGTTAAATCCACAAACCTCACTTTGTTAGATCCACTATTATAACTTTGTTAAATCCACAAACCTCACTTTGTTAGATCCACTATTATAACTTTGTTAAATCCACAAACCTCACTTTGTTAGATCCACTATTATAACTTTGTTAAATCCACAAACCTCACTTTGTTAGATCCACTATTATAACTTTGTTAAATCCACAAACCTCACTTTGTTAGATCCACTATTATAACTTTGTTAAATCCACAAACCTCACTTTGTTAGATCCACTATTATAACTTTGTTAAATCCACAAACCTCACTTTGTTAGATCCACTATTATAACTTTGTTAAATCCACAAACCTCACTTTGTTAGATCCACTATTATAACTTTGTTAAATCCACAAACATCACTTTGTTAGATCCACTATTATAACTTTGTTAAATCCACAAACCTCACTTTGTTAGATCCACTATTATAACTTTGTTAAATCCACAAACCTCACTTTGTTAGATCCACTATTATAACTTTGTTAAATCCACAAACCTCACTTTGTTAGATCCACTATTATAACTTTGTTAAATCCACAAACCTCACTTTGTTAGATCCACTATTATAACTTTGTTAAATCCACAAACCTCACTTTGTTAGATCCACTATTATAACTTTGTTAAATCCACAAACCTCACTTTGTTAGATCCACTATTATAACTTTGTTAAATCCACAAACCTCACTTTGTTAGATCCACTATTATAACTTTGTTAAATCCACAAACCTCACTTTGTTAGATCCACTATTATAACTTTGTTAAATCCACAAACCTCACTTTGTTAGATCCACTATTATAACTTTGTTAAATCCACAAACCTCACTTTGTTAGATCCACTATTATAACTTTGTTAAATCCACAAACCTCACTTTGTTAGATCCACTATTATAACTTTGTTAAATCCACAAACCTCACTTTGTTAGATCCACTATTATAACTTTGTTAAATCCACAAACCTCACTTTGTTAGATCCACTATTATAACTTTGTTAAATCCACAAACCTCACTTTGTTAGATCCACTATTATAACTTTGTTAAATCCACAAACCTCACTTTGTTAGATCCACTATTATAACTTTGTTAAATCCACAAACCTCACTTTGTTAGATCCACTATTATAACTTTGTTAAATCCACAAACCTCACTTTGTTAGATCCACTATTATAACTTTGTTAAATCCACAAACCTCACTTTGTTAGATCCACTATTATAACTTTGTTAAATCCACAAACCTCACTTTGTTAGATCCACTATTATAACTTTGTTAAATCCACAAACCTCACTTTGTTAGATCCACTATTATAACTTTGTTAAATCCACAAACCTCACTTTGTTAGATCCACTATTATAACTTTGTTAAATCCACAAACCTCACTTTGTTAGATCCACTATTATAACTTTGTTAAATCCACAAACCTCACTTTGTTAGATCCACTATTATAACTTTGTTAAATCCACAAACCTCACTTTGTTAGATCCACTATTATAACTTTGTTAAATCCACAAACCTCACTTTGTTAGATCCACTATTATAACTTTGTTAAATCCACAAACCTCACTTTGTTAGATCCACTATTATAACTTTGTTAAATCCACAAACCTCACTTTGTTAGATCCACTATTATAACTTTGTTAAATCCACAAACCTCACTTTGTTAGATCCACTATTATAACTTTGTTAAATCCACAAACCTCACTTTGTTAGATCCACTATTATAACTTTGTTAAATCCACAAACCTCACTTTGTTAGATCCACTATTATAACTTTGTTAAATCCACAAACCTCACTTTGTTAGATCCACTATTATAACTTTGTTAAATCCACAAACCTCACTTTGTTAGATCCACTATTATAACTTTGTTAAATCCACAAACCTCACTTTGTTAGATCCACTATTATAACTTTGTTAAATCCACAAACCTCACTTTGTTAGATCCACTATTATAACTTTGTTAAATCCACAAACCTCACTTTGTTAGATCCACTATTATAACTTTGTTAAATCCACAAACCTCACTTTGTTAGATCCACTATTATAACTTTGTTAAATCCACAAACCTCACTTTGTTAGATCCACTATTATAACTTTGTTAAATCCACAAACCTCACTTTGTTAGATCCACTATTATAACTTTGTTAAATCCACAAACCTCACTTTGTTAGATCCACTATTATAACTTTGTTAAATCCACAAACCTCACTTTGTTAGATCCACTATTATAACTTTGTTAAATCCACAAACCTCACTTTGTTAGATCCACTATTATAACTTTGTTAAATCCACAAACCTCACTTTGTTAGATCCACTATTATAACTTTGTTAAATCCACAAACCTCACTTTGTTAGATCCACTATTATAACTTTGTTAAATCCACAAACCTCACTTTGTTAGATCCACTATTATAACTTTGTTAAATCCACAAACCTCACTTTGTTAGATCCACTATTATAACTTTGTTAAATCCACAAACCTCACTTTGTTAGATCCACTATTATAACTTTGTTAAATCCACAAACCTCACTTTGTTAGATCCACTATTATAACTTTGTTAAATCCACAAACGTCACTTTGTTAGATCCACTATTATAGCTGTGTTAAATCCACAAACATCACTTTGTTAGATCAACTATTATAACCGTGTGTTAAATCCACCAACCGCACTTTGTTAGATCCACTATTATAACTGTGTTAAATCCACCAACATCACTTTGTCAGATCCGTAAACCTAACTTCGCTAGTTCAATAAACCGTATTTTACTTTGCAAACTTGAACAATCCATAAACCTTATTTTGGTAATTTCATTAACCTAATATTGTAAGTTCTATAAACCTTACGTTGTAATATCGAAAGACCTTAGTTTGTCAGAAACGTAAACCACGTTTAACTTTGAAAAGACAATCCATAAACCTAACTTTGTTCTATCTATAATTCATTTTTTTAGATCCATAAGACTCGCTTTGTAAGAGCCATAATCCTTTCTGTGTTAGGTCTATAAACCTAATATGTTAGATCCATAAACTAACGCTTTATTTACAAACCTTGCTTTGCTAAATCAATAAACTTAATTTTGTCAGATCCGTTAACCTAACTTTGTTAGATCTATAAACCTCACTTTGTTAGATCCACTATTTTAACTGTGTTAAATTCACAAACATCACTTTGTTAGATCCACTATTATAACTGTGTTAAATCCACAAACCTCACTTTATTAGATCCACTATTATAACTTTGTTAGATCCACTATTATCACTTTGTTAAATCCACTATTATAACTTTGTTAAATCCACAAAACTAACTTTGTTAGATCCACTATTATAACTTTGTTAAATCCACAAAACTAACTTTGTTAGATCCACTATTATAACTGTGTTAAATCCGCAAACATCACTTTGTTAAATCCACTATTATAACTTTGTTAAATCCACAAAACTAACTTTGTTAGATCCACTATTATAACTGTGTTAAATCCGCAAACATCACTTTGTGAAATCCACTATTATAACTTTGTTAAATCCACAAAACTAACTTTGTTAGATCCACTATTATAACTTTGTTAAATCCACAAACATCACTTTGTTAGAGCCACTATTATAACTTCGTTAAATCCACAAACAGCACTTTGTTAGATCCACTATTATAAATGTGTTAAATCGACAAACCTCACTTTGTTAGATCAACTATTATAACCGTGTGTTAAATCCACAAATCTCACTTTGTTAAACCAATAAACCTATTTTTGTAAGTTACATAAACATAAGTTTATTAAATCTATTAAACTAAATTTGCCAGATCCATAGACCTAAGTTTGTCAGATCCGTAAACCTAACTTCGCTAGTTCAATAAACCGTATTTAACTTTGCAAACTTGAACAATCCATAAACCTTATTCTGGTAATTTCATTAACCTAATATTGTAAGTTCTATAAACCTTACGTTGTAATATCGAAAGACCTTAGTTTGTCAGAAACGTAAACCACGTTTAACTTTGAAAAGACAATCCATAAACCTAACTTTGTTATATCTATAATTCATTTTTTTAGATCCATAAGACTCGCTTTGTAAGAGCCATACTCCTTTCTGTGTTAGGTCTATAAACCTAATATGTTAAATTCATAAACTAACGCTTTATTTACAAACCTTGCTTTGCTAAATCAATAAACTTAATTTTGTCAGATCCGTTAACCTAACTTTGTTAGATCTATAAACCTCACTTTGTAAGATCCTTAAACCTTACCCTGTTAGATACATAGCTTAAGTTTTATTAAAGTCATAACCCTTACTTTTTTAGATCAATACTCTTAACTTTGTAAGCTCCGTAAAGCAATGTTTGTAATATCCATAAACCTAGCTTTGTTAGATCAATAAATCCAACTTTGTAAGGTCCATCAACCCAATTTTGTTAGATCCATAAACCCAATTTTGGGAGATCCATAAACCCAATTTTGGGAGATCCATAAACCTTAGCTTTGTGAAATCCAGAGTCAAGTCAAGTTGCATATCCAGATGTCTAATACGTTCATGAAATGTGTGAATCTAATAACCGTTTTTGGTGTTATAAAAACGCCAAAGTTGTCTGGGAAAGATAATCCTAATGTTTGTAATTGCAACATGCCATAGCAACGTCCTAATTATGATTGCAATATGTTGACCATTTCCGGTTCGACAGTTACTTATATTTGTTTCGTTATATTTATAAGCATTCCCTGTACAAATGTCGTTTCTTTTAAGGTCATACATGATTTCTATCCTCGCCAATGGAAGAAATAAAAATAAAATACCGTAAAATAACTAATTTTTGTGGAGTTTTTAATTTCGTTGGGTTTTGGGAAAACTTCAGCCACTTTTACATAGGTCCACGAAGTAGTTGAAAGTTTGACTTAAAGATATTCTCTGTTAGAATGGGTTTTCGTAATCAACGAATTCCTGTGCCAATACAATTGTGTAGTTTTTTTCGGGAAACCACGAAATTGTGCCCCACGGAAATATTTGATTTCACAGTAAGTTGAAGAACTCTACAAAAAGGTGGACTTTACAAGATGAAAAATACAGTTGCTGAATTTTTGTCTGGTAGTTATAAGTATTGTTTACAAATCTGCAGTTTTAATGACAGCCTATATTTAATGAAAAGCTTGTTATCGTTAATGTAGATGTTATTGGGTGTTTAGTATTTCCTGTCAGAATAGAATGTGTTTATCATGAAGACGGTTGAGAAAAGTATAATAATTATTGTCTTTCTTTGCTTGATAAAACAACTTACATATATAAAGGGTTCATTAAGTTATTTATTACTAAAATCATTTCCGATTACATCTTCCAATAGGCGGATAGAAAAAACACTCTGAAGTTTGTCATTGACATAATCAGAAATAACCCGGAGATTGACGAAATCTATCAGAATCACATCATTGAATTTTTCCACATCGGCAATAAGACGCAGACTGATTCAGAACGAGAGATTATCTGGAAGGCCATCCTAAAGAGTGCTCCATACCAGGCACAGTGGGGTCAACTACTGCCTGGAAGCTGGATATCTCTCGAACATGACATCATGCGTTTACGGAATAGCTCAACAAGGGTCATGACTTTCAAGGAATTGAAAGAGCGGGCAACGAAGTTTGGTGTGGTGGACGTCGAAGGATTTCTTCGGTATGTTCGGCAAAATGTAGACTACTTGTTATTATAGAAAATAAACACAATTGTTTTATTAATTGAGTAAACAGTTTTATCATTGGTATCAGTTTATCATTAAAACATGTCCAACTCTTAAATAGTTCGGATTTAAATCGATAAAGAAGTATAATAACTAGCTGTTTACTATAGTTTGGCAGCAAAAGTAGTCGTACGTTCCACCATATGTCCGAGTGCAGGATCGTTTGACCTTTGATTGCTTTGTCTAACTAGGAATGTCCATACAAGAAGTACTAGGTTTTCAGATGCAATTAACATCTGTGTTCCAAAACACAGAACAACATTTTATTCAAAACTATTTTTCTAATAGCACTCAATTTTGGAATGGACTTCCAGAAGAGTTAAAGAATGTTGATATATTTAGTAATTTTAAACAGAAACTTGTCAAACATTTTCATACATTTTAAAAGTAGCTTTTTTAATGAAGTGAAACCAATTTTGTTTTGAATTATGCTACATTAACGTATAAGTAGGTCAATTTTTATGTTTTTGCTATGTTAGCATACATGTAAATTAGACATGTGCCATTTGATTTATGAAACGATTTTGCATGATAATTATGCATTCTGTGACATTCTTAACGTAAGACAGCTGTGATGATCAATTTAAGGTGAATGTGTCTTAAAAAGTTATGATATTTTATATCTTATGCTATTGTGTTTTTCTTATATATATTTATTTATAATGTAATTCATAATTATTACATGTATTTTATTAAGAGGACCATGTGAAAGATTCGCCCATGGCTAAACATGTATTTATCCTACATAAAGAATGTATATTGTTATCATTGTTATCAAGTACATATTGGAGCTGTTGAAATAACTTTGTGTAAGGCGGTACGATACCTTTGTATATTGTATGTGTTGAATATCTTAGGTACATGCATACGTCAAGGACTATCCTCAGCTTCCCCTCCGATGACGAGCCAGGTCAACCCATTCCCTTGGACATGAAGATTATCCTCGATCCTGCCTGGATGATCAGAGCATTCCGTCTGATTGTGACAGCTCTCAAATTCCACCTACAGAATCTAGAAAAAGATGACCCCTTGCTGATAGAATATCAACGAACCCGTCGACTGAAGAGAGAATTCATTGACCGCATATGGAGAATGCACGACGTCAAGGAAGGTTTTCTGTCACATAGCGAGACCCTTCTCTACTTCATAGAGAGATCCGAGCTGATTGTCAAGCCTGTACCAACCGGGATCCCGACGGATGTAGACACATACATCGTGCCATCACTGTTGCAGCCAGCTGATCCAGACTTGGTAAGACAGTACCTCAAGGACAAATATGCAAAAACATCTTCGACGCTTTGCATTCAGTTCCAGGACAAGTTTGTGCCAGAAGCAGTCTGTGACAAGTTTCTAGCGTCTTTGATTTACAGGTTTAAAGTTGATGACGCCACGTCCCTGTGTATACAACGGGGTATTGCTTGCTTCCTGTTGACAGGCGACTGGAAGATGATTGCTCATTGCCGCGACAGAATGATCAAAATCACCCTCTTCTCTGAAAATCCATCACCTCAACCATTTACCAACGGCAAACAATTAAGAGGCATTGTCACAGATCTCCTGGATTCAACTTTACGTCGAAACGACCAGCTGCATCTTGTTTATAAGGCATACCTACATCACAATTTCGAAGTTCTGCAGGAGGATAACGTTTTGGAACCATCCAAAGTCAAATCAATGCTACACTCAGACAGGACAACGAAACTATCCAAGGCAGATTATGACTTCTGGTTTACAATGCAGGTAAATTATACAATAAAAACAAGACATGTTTATAAAGAATTTTTTTTTTTTTTTACATTTTAAATAGACTAATGTTTGTTGTGTCAGTTTATAATATGAAAAATATGTATGTCAACAATAATCCTGATGGAAACCCTAGCTAAATAATTTATTGTTTTATACGGCGCATTTATGATAAAAAATAGTATACATAGAACAGGCAGCTCTAATGTAATTTTGCTCAAATTCTTTAATATCTTTTACAGCCAAGACCAAAAACAGCAGGGAAAGGAGCTAACGCATCTTCAGGTTAGTTTTTTTTTTTTCGATTCAACATATATTTATTATATCGTATATTTTTTAACAAATTGACAATAAACTATTCAGAAAATTATTTACCAATTCATTTGGCAGCAACAGATGATGCAATTAAGTTGATAACGCTACTAAATTGCCGAATTAGATTATAATCAAAAGCGAAATCTTCAAACTTTCAACCTAAGAAAATGGTTTTAGGAACCTTACAATTGTGTTGATGTATACATAAGAATAAAGTGAAACCCCGAAGCAAGTACTTTTCTAGCAAATTTAACTTTCATTTCAAACTATGTTTTGAATATTTATCTAACAAGTATATGGTTTACTTAGTTTATGGCAGTGAATGTGTTTGTAACGAAATGTTTGTTAGATATATTTGTTTTCAAAACTTTTTTATAGCTGACAATTGATATATTTTAATTCTTTATAAATCATTTGTATGTATGCTAGTAGATTATTTTAAATATATATAGAGAGATAGAGACAGACAGACAGACAGAGTGAGGGAGAAAAAGGGAGAGAGAAAGAGGGAGAGAGAAAGGGAGAAACATGAAGAGTCATAGAGGGGGAGACAGACAGACAGAAAGTAACATAGTTTAATTTGAGAGAGAGAGAGAGAGAGAGAGAGAGAGAGAGAGAGAGAGACAGAGACAGAGACAGACAGACACACAGACACACAGACAGACACACAGACAGACACACACAGACACACACACACACAGAGATGAGGAAGAAAACAGACATAAACAGAGACAGATATTCAATTTTGAGTAATCAATACGAGCCATGATTTGTAGGTAATACTAGTGGGGTAGATTTAACAAGAGAACCATCTCTGAAGCAAATGAGCCACATAGCGAAACACATTGGGGATGGCTATGTACTCTTCTTCTTGGAGTTGGGAATGAAGAACAATACCATTACGCAAGTACGCCAAACCAATGCCGCACTTGATTTTCGGTCACAAATAACACGAACATTGATAGCCTGGAGGAACAGTAGGTCCCAGTCTGACGTCACCTTGTCCGCCATTGTTGATGCTATGAATGCTACTCATATGGATTCCGCGGCAATGATGTCAGAGTTGTCACCAAATTCACAAGAGGCGGAAAAGATAAGTATGTCTGTTTACCATTTGATCAAATAATGTCCCATTATCTAGATTTTAAATATTTTATACTTAATATGGTAATATCATGTTAAAACTCGCTACGTAATCATCATATTTAAGGCACTCTGTTATTTTTTTCATAATATAAAAGAAAGGTATGCAAAAACTCCCCTTGTCATACTCTTCTGTCCTACCTGCTTCGGTAGGTATGGCGTACTACTATCTTCTATTACAAACAAAAGCCTTCTGATAAATCACAGGATAACGAGGATGGGGTTGCGATATCCTCCACAAACATAGTTAGGAAATCAGAGGACCTCAAATCATGGCGTTGGACCGTGAGATGTGTGGACAACTGACTGTTCATAGCGCCTGTGGCAAATACATCCATGTGAGGGTGCTCCCAACCCTCACGAACCGCCTTGGATACCGACGGTTTCAGCTTTCAATATATAAGTAACGGTCGACGAGCATATAGACAACCTTTATAGACAAATGTATCTTATCGTTAAACTCGCGAAGAAACTACAAAACCAGCCAACAAGACTATTTTCATCTTCCGGAGTTCATTGTACTCCATGAGTTGATCCATGGACTACTCCCAAGTCTATGACGTTCCTGTCCCAGCAAGCATCTTAACACATCACGGAATCATCTGTATACAGAGTCATGACGGGACCTGGCATGTACAAAATATCGTCACCGAAGGGCGTTGTCCCAACAGTCAACAAGAACGTTAAGTCATTCGCTGACTCGATTAAAGGACGACCTGCAACACGTATGTGCAAATCAACAGTGAAGTAGTGAGCCCGAGCGCCAAGTACCTGTATTCATCGAAGTTCTTCTCGACATTGAAACCTCTTCTACTGCATGGGCAAAACATAGTCTGCACTTCTTCCTTAATGGCCAGAGCCTTTTCTTGATCAATATCCCGATGTTTTAGTTTTTTCATTCAATTGAAGAAAAAGAGAAGCCGCACAACCGTGTACCTGCAAATTTGACAAGGGGTCATCTACACTTACATGCGTGCTTGTTGCGAGAACAAAAGGGCCTACGTCCGACCCGGCAACGGACAGCTCTGAGTCCGATTACTACAGGATAGTGAAGCGTAGGAAAAGATCAGGTCAGGAACTCGACTTTACTTTAGTAGAAGGTTTGACGCCATCCGTATCGTCTTCGTCTTGGCTTTTAAGAAAAAAGATATGCTTACCCCTCATACAAAAATGAAGTGCTACAACTGTCCGCAACACAGATTTCAGGCCAGACGTAAGGTTGCATTGCATGACGTCTTCTTTAGGCAACCGATCTTTAAGAAAACCGGAGGGTATGTACAAGGAGATAGTAAAAAAAATACACAAGACAGGACTTGAGGACAGGAGCACAAATTCCACTCTAAAATGCTCCTAAGCTTACAACCCCAGCTGTTCGACGAACCTTGCTGCCCCACCCGAGCACATTTTTAAGACGTGTAAATATAATACAGCAGCAGTTATTTGATAACATAAAACAGCTGGCGTGGTTTTCTAGTTATGAATATCATTTCAGAATTAAGAAAAAAGAAGCTGTTTGCCATAGGTGCATGTGCATTGGATATCTTTATTTTATTTTATGATGATATTGAGCAGAAGTAGTGCAAAAATATGCATATTAGAGTTATGGTACTTAGTATTGAACAGAAAACACTTTAAAAATACAACACTTCTCCTTAATGTACGGATAATGGTATATTGTATTTAATTCTGACAGATTAATGAATTTGCATACTTCAAATATTATGTAATTATCCAACAATTTGTACCTCTTTTTTGACTATTTGTACAGAAAAGTCAGTATGCGATCTGTGTTTGCCGGAAAGACGTCTGCGTGAGGTCGAGGTGGATATTGTTGCACGTTCCATTGGAACGATGTACGTTGTTTTCTTCATACATCTTGATTTAGAAGACGAAATAATTAGGGAGGCCGAGTTAAACCACCATGGCGAAGCAAGAAATATGAAAATGCACTTGCTGCACACATGGCTTCAGCGAAACGGTAAAGAAGCTTCCGTCCATAGAATAATGATGGCTTCACGGGAATGTGACATCATTGGCTGGAAAGAACTAGCTGGTATGTTGACATTGATTACATGTATGCATAGGATTATATCATTTTGATTTTACAACAACCGTAGTGGCGGAATGGTTAATGCGTCTGACTGTCTACGATCATAAGCACGGTCTTTTTTCTTCGGTAATCCGGCTTTTTTAACTTCTATGAGAAAATCTTTAAATGTGAGGTCACTTGTTCACATATGGAGTTGCATGACCTTTGTCCCTCTACAAGTCTACCTAATTCAATTGACAACCATACAACTATGAATGTCATAACGTAATGATACGAAATCGGATTGAATGAAAAACTGTCAGCATCCGTTGACAGACGTTATCATATCGTTTTAAGTTAATATGACATATTTTGTTTGAACTCTATTTGTAATCTCTCGGGCTCGAAGGACCAAGGTGAGCGTATGCCATACCGTGGCGTCCGTCGTTCGTCCGTCGTCCGTCCGTACTTCAACAATTTTTCAAACGACTTCTTCTTAACCAAACAATATAATTTTATCTAATTTATTCTGGAAGCATTTATAAGTGGTTGGGATTCAAATTTGTACAAATGGGGGGCTCCCCCCCCCCTCCCCCTGTGGGTTGAGGGGCGGAGCCGAACCGGGGTCAATTTGGCTATATTGCTATGAACGACCTTTTCTGTAGAACTACATTTATGCACTGGATATAAATCATATTTGGCCGGAAGCATTCAAGGAAGGTAGGGATTCAAAATTGTAGAAATGGGGAGGCTGACCCCCAAGGAAGCTTAGGGACGGGTCCAAAAAGGGTTATTTGGCTATTTTGCTTTAATCGACCTTCTCTAGAACTCAGCAATTGATATCAACTATATTTAAGCATCATTTCGTGGTGGGATGAACTGTTGCACAAATGGACAGGCTGACCCACGGACCAAGAAGTGGGACCAAATATAGTTTCTTGCTTTGAAATGGTTGACCATATGAATGCGCTTATGCTTCCAGGATGACCCTGCGGTCTATCCCTACCCTCGGAGATATAGTCTTTGAAACGGTTGACATCCCAACCACAAAACTTTATATACAATTGGTGAACATAAAGAGCGGATGCAGTCCTGGTATTAGAACTGGACCAGGGGTCTGGCCACACAACTAGGGACCTAGTTTCTGAATTTCAGCTTTACAATGTTCAGATCCCAACCCTTTATATATATGTAAATAGTATAAAGCTACGAATGCGCATATGCATTATTGGAAGGTTCCGGGGTCTGCCCCACCCTTGCAAACTTTACCCCTGGGCCATAGCTTTGAAACGGTTAATATTCCCACCCCAAAACTGTTTATGATAATGCTGGGCATAAAGAGACGAACGCAGTCATGATATAAGATTTGATCATATGGTCTTACCAAACCTTGTTTCTGAGCCTTAGCTTCGAAACCGTTGAGATCCCGAACTTATAATCAAATATACAATTGGTGAGTATGAAAAAAAAGACAAATGCACATATATTTCCCGGATGACCCCGGGGTCTGCTCAATCCTTGGAGACTTAACCCCCGGGTAATAACTTTGAAACAGTTAAGATCCCATCCACAAAACTATATATACAATTGCAAAGCATAAAGAGACGAATGCAGTCATTACATTAGAATTGACCCCGGGGTCTGCCCAACCCTTGCCGAATTAACCCCTGAGTAATATATTTGAAACAGTTGAGATCCCTTCCTCAAAACTATATATACAATTGCTTGGCATAAATAGACGAATGCAGTCATGACATTAGAATTGATACAAGGGTCTGCCTAACCCTTGCAGAATTAACCCCTGGGTAATAACTTTGAAATGGTTAAGATCCCTTCCCCTAAACAATATATGCAAATGCTGGGCATAAAGGAACAAATGAAGTCATGACATTGAAATTCACACCACTAGATCCCTGTCCCACTCGATCATGATATTGGATAATTCCACAGTAGTTTTATTCTGTACGAAGACATGATAGCTCAGTCAGATAGAGCAACAGCATAATGAGGTCCAGAGTTTGAATCCTGATATGACATCGTTTAACCTAGAATAGTGTCAGTGATTGCTATCGTTTATTCATCATTATTATTATTATTCAAGTTCCCCAAGGTATTGTTTTCTTAGCAGCTATCAATGCTACAATCATGCAAGGAAAATAATCCAACGATTTTCATTTTTGTAGTTGAGGCACGGGGATCCTTTAATTATAAAGTAAAACAATGAAGACTTATACATATAAATGTTTGCAATCTAAACAATGACCCGTTTGTATGCTGAAACTATTTATTTTTTCTCTTTAGACAAGTTGCGTCCAAAATGAGATGGAAAGGACCGTCTTCCCTGGACTCATCTTGAGAGAAAACTCATGCGGGTTATGAACGATAGCACATTGCCCACTGCGAAAAAGTTCATCTGCGTAGGTCTGTAATATGAATGTATTCAGCATAACCAACGTCTGTGTCTTTACGTTGCTGTATGATGGCAAACCCTGGACATATTTTTACTAGTATAGCACATGTCCACACAAAAAAAAAGGAAGCTTCCTTTTCCAGGGACAAGCAACTAGATGGTTAACAGCGTTGACACAAGTTCGTGTAAAGTAGCACCAAAGAACGACAATCTCACTTGCAAATGTGTGCTCCTTGATTAATGAAGAATATTCGTTAATAAAAAGACAGGTTGTCAATGATACATGATGTCAATTACATTAGTCAAGTTTGTTATCAATAATATATTATGTCAATGAGAAAGGTTGTAAATGAGATATGTAATCAGTAAGACATGTTAAAAATGTATGATGTCAGTGAGAAAGTGTTGTCAATTAGATATGTAATCAGCATTACAAGTTGGGAATCAAACAAGTATGTTAAAATGTCATCAATTAATTATTTTTGTATATTAACAATATCAAGTAGTGATACTTAGAATAAAAAAAAATCTATATATCTTTTTCAGGAAAGTGTTTTACTGTGACTATGAAATCCTGCAGGCAAATGTCAAATTAAAAATATCATGTTATATGTTCTATAATTAAAAAAACTATAGATACTGTATAACGTTTACTTTTCCAAAATTATCATAAAATAATAAAATAATGTACAGGATTCAAACATTTGTATCTTGATCATTCCGGCAACTGTTTGCCAGGATATATATTTCATTGGAATTAGATAAACACATATATAGATCAACATATCAGACTATGATTCCAGGACATCAAAATATAAAGTCATTCGAATGTAAAATATTTCCTAAGACGTATTTATTTCATCAATGTATTGACGGATATATGTTTTAATACAGTTTCCATTTATGACGTTATTTATCAAAACACGCTTGACTAACACATATCAACATTTTATCATTATCATAATATTTTACACATTTGCCAAAAATATAGGTAACAACTGCAACATCAAAAACAAATGCAATACAATTTCATGGGTTGTAAAACAAACATATATATCCCTTTTTTAACTTCACTTTGTTTTAATTGTTTATGTAATATATAAAAAAAATTGTTTATCTTAAACGTTATGTTTTCCTTCTCTATTTGCACAACTCAGTCTCAGTCATAAATAATGGAACCAGACGCTTCGACTATTTCTTTTGAAACTACATTCATCCAATCGTCGTTTGTTTAAATATAAAAGCAATCATTTCGACGCGAAAATATTGAATCTACACAATCTTTATTGTACAAAAAGTCTGTGGATGTTTGAAAAAAATCTTATCATAATTAAGCACTGAGTCAGTAATTAAGAGTAACACAGGGAAAACAGATCATGAAGTTGCAATATACAGATTAATCCAGGTCCCTGATACTCTAGCTAGTGTGACGCCTTTATTTCGACTACTGATTCCCTTTGATCGGTAAGCTTCCGGACACAAATGTGCTTTGTAGACAAACAGCCAGCAAGAATACCAAGCCAAAGGTACTCGGGGAAGGCTAGAGAAACATATGAAAATGTTACCATATGCAAACTACTTGTATTATTCATACACATTCAGATTTCAACGAGTTTTGATAAAATATCGAAACGGAGCTTGACATTAATTCAAGATTTCCTTGTCTTATTTTTATTTTAATTCGAATGATAGATTTTATTAAAACAATGGAAATAATTGTTTTTTTGATAAATTACAATCATAAATTACTTTTTGATTTGTATAGAAATATGTATACATGTAATCTTCTTTCTTTTAAGATATATTATCATATGTTGTCAACGTACATACATGTATTTTAGCGGTATTTTTATTTTAGCGCATTTCGGGCCTTGGATATCGCGCTAAATTATGATTGAATTTCTGTGAACAGAATTGATTACATCCATTGTGAGTGCGCCAAAACATCATTGCGTTAATCTGTCAAAATTTGACAATACGTAAAAAAGTGTGCCCGCTAAAATATGAACGACAAATGTATGTTTAGTACCATTTTCATTTAACAAAAAATACATTATTGTTCTTTGTTTTTGTTCTGTTGCATCTTTTAAATGAGAGACAAGCGGATTTCTAAGTTGTTCTTAGCTTTGAAACACAATTTCAGGAATTGATTACGTGTGTGTAATTATGCATTGGAAAAGCAATCAATGTGTCTAAATATTTATGATAACTACACACTGTTGGTGTGACATACGTTTCATTATGTATCTATACTATCTATAAGTATTCCATTTGTTTTTTAATAAACAATTTGATTATGTATTCCTTTATTCTTTATTGTCAATGTTCACCGTCTTTTCTACATAAAAGAGAGTTAGCGATGTCTAAGCGCTATTTTGTCTTACCATAGTTTTATTAACATGTCAATTACAAAGCAATCCAGATTCATGTTAGGGACAAATTTTGCAGCCCTACTTTCCCAGCCCGTTTGACTGAAACAACGTATGTATTTCACAAACAAGTATATTGGTGTAATGAATCTTTACGATATACGGCACAAGACTAATTGTTGACTGACCATACACAAATTCTATCCCATACCTCGTTCTTTGCTATATTTGAGACATTTTATCTGCGTATAGATACTATCCTCACACACGACTCTTGATTGTCTGAACATGGAAGTATATTCATACGTGTACACACACTATTAATAAGTACAAATGGTGTAAAGACTTGAGCACATTGGACAGGTATGCTAGTATGAGTGATGTGTATACTTCATATAATACCTTACCTGGGCCCGTATACATGAAACCATTCTAGTGTTAACCACTCGTCTAATCCGCCCATTTAGTGTGGTCTTATTAGTTTTAGCACCATATTAAGATTAAGGCAAAGGCTACCACTGCATCGGTTTTTAAGGCAAATAGTTTCACTCAGAGTTTTCTTTGACTTGGAGTATTCCCCCTTTAATATAGAAGACGAGGCAACCTTTAGGAGTTTTGCTGGCTTAGAGTAACTTCGTCTGTCAAGTTTTTTTCGTATGCTTTATGACCCATATAATGGATACTAGTTTTGATGCTGTGGTAAAAATGGTAACTGTGGTAAAAACGGTAAAGTGTACGCTTTGAACACTTTTCAAGTTTATTTAAATTTTAAACAAATACCGATCTGTTAAAAGGATGAAAATATGTGATTGCTATGGAATTGTGTGTTTGAAAAGGTCTTAAACGAATATTTTACAATAGCAACATTGGTAATCTACTTGTACCCTTTACCTTAACAAATATGCGCGTTTGTGTGTTGCGACGGTATCTTGGTGTATTCTTCACCTTGCGATAGCTCTGGTCGGATGATCAATTAAGGGTGCAACCTCACTTACATTCCATGCCGAAATCACCCTGCACAGTACTCTACTCTTTCACAATAGCCATTGAAAAATGACATTAACCTCAGCGCAAAAGAAAATATTTTTAGAATTAGAATAACACAAATATATAAATGGTACTTCGAAAAGTATAACTTAATAATCAAATTGAAATAAAACCATCTTATGATGACGAACGTGAAATATGAACGGTGTCTGTTGCAAACCTTGAGGCAGAGCGTCCTCATTACGTAATTTGTCAAACAACAGAGCACATATGTTGATAAATACCATACTTGTATATTTACCTTTTCCCCACTCTGTACCTCACAGTCTATGCCCCTGAGTACCAGCTTCAGCCCGGGGCGGTACCTTGTAGTATAGCCCTCAAAATTGATACTCCCGGCGTGAGGCCACATAGGGGGAGGGGCGAAAGTCATCTCTGACCCATTCAGCCTGTCAGATTATACGGATGGGACTTTTTCACTTATATTACATTATATTTTGTAATAAAGACGTTAAACAAACATAATTTTTCACTGGCTTATATACTTGTTCTATGAAATTATTTCATCACAACCACTCTAAAATTAACTTTAACATATGTTACAATATAATCATATAATCATATTTACGACGGAACCAGAATATCTATAAAGTTTGCTTTATTCTTTTTTAATTTCAGTTACTGCTTTCTAAATTCCGATGATTTTTTAAAGATTTTAAATGATAAAGGCCAAAATTGACGCAATAATTCAGGGTAAACAAGACACTGTCTTGTTCAAGAAAAATCTGCTGGTAGATCCATATATTCCACCACGAGTTCCGTAGATACAATGTTCATCTGCATCTCGCTAACAGAAAAACACCACCAGGGCTTCAGCAGCTACGAGCTAAAAAAATATTTTAAGCAACATTGAAATATAAATTAAATATTTTGTCAATAAAAAAAATAACTGAAGAACAAAGAAGGCATAACGCAACGAAATCTGTAAAACTTTGTTTAAAGATGAACGTACGATACACACGATAATGTATCTTTTAAATCCGATAATATATGTAGATTATGTAAACAGTTAATTACACTGCTCCATACAGGTGTTTCGCCCTTCTAGTTCTCATCCGTGATACTAGGGGCAAAAACGGTAGAAATCAAAATAGGTCTAACCTACTGCCCAATCAAATGTACTCACCTGATACTTTGCCGCCGAGACAGTCCCGTATCTCTATGGTGACGGTATCATCTGACGTAGTCAGGTAATCAGACATAACCTTCTCTACATGTTCCCACAGCTTGTCCTTCATTTCCTATGCTATATTGATTCAAATTACTTATAAAGTAGTCGCGTTTTCAGCGTGATGTAAATATATCGTTTACCTTACCATACATGTTAATTTGGTAATGCTCTAAAACGTATTTAAGGGTACCTGTCACATCGAAGACAAAACACAAGAGAGTTACATTGTATACTTTCGTACCGACAGTAACCGCCCTTACTTGCGTTTTAGAAATACGTGAATCATGATCTTATTCCGTTGTATTTAACACTTTTCTTTCTTGTTTTCTACTGTTTCCATTAAGGTATTGTTGTCTTTATTAAAACGTTTTAGTACGGGAATCGTAATGTCGGTATGGAAATTACAAACACAAACAAAATTTTAAAAAGGCCTATACAAAAAAATCGTAAAATACAATCATAGGAAGAGATAGTATATGCCTATGGACGAAAACAGTAATAACACAGTATTGAAAATAACAGATGACGTCATCCTATAACTAGCGAATTCAGTAACAGATATCAGTGTAACATTACAAAACACCATATGCTTTTATTAATCGATCACATCAGAGATTACACATATATGTATATACGTAAGATATCAAAAGTCATTTCCTGATTTCCAAGTTATATATTATGAATATGAATTGGATTAAATTGTATGTGTTAACTACCACAGGAAAGGAAACATGCTGTAAGATATGTAAGTGAAAAAAACAACATTTTAATACTGGGCGAAAGCTCTTTTCTATCAAGACTTTCTCCCGTGATAAAAACCTTCAATGATGTTTGCCTGTTTTATTTCACTTCAACCAAATAAAACATGTAGGATAGATGAAGAAAGAAGAAAAAAACCTTCAATGATGTTTGCCTGTTTTATTTCACTTCAACCAAATAAAACATATAGGATAGATGAAGAAAGAATTCGCACTGTTTTCAAACAACAGTCATAGTTACCGGATAATGTCCTTCGTCGTCCGATTGTTCCTGTTTCTATGATAAACATTCTAACAATCGTAGTTTGATTGATTGCTTTTTCACTGTATTACATGTATATATATAAAACAGGTTCTATAAACCTATATCAATAACGTGAAAGGTGTTTAATATCGGAGTAAACCTAAGTTATTGAAAATAATTTTAAACACGATTTCATGTGTCAAGGAAACACATTCTGATAGATGCTGCGTGTTTAAAATTAAACCAAAAAAAAATGATTCAATCCGATTTTTTGGGGATTTTTTATATGAAGTACATACCTTCATCTCCTACTTAATCGTCTTTGTCATCGTCGTATGAGATGAACGTTTGCAGTTAGCGAGCGAATTGTCCAGTATGTTGTAGGAGGTCTTGGTATGTCCCGTTCTTGGATATCTGACCACCGTCTATGACGATGATCCTGAAAGCCAATGAACGCCATGGGTCACTAGTGTAGCGGGTGGGAAGTTGTCGAAAATAAGACAAAGCCGCTGGGTTCGGTTCTATCGCATTTTAATGCTTATAAATAGAAACATTCTGAAATACACAATAAAAATACGTATAAGCTCTACATGCATATATGTCACATTCGGGTAAAATACAATCTACAAATCTCAACAATTCAATGACCAGTACTAAGATAATAAAATTACAACACTTTCTGGTACTTATTTATTATATTTTCCAACAAGGAATTATTCATTGATATAAGAATAACATCTAGGACTTCAGCAAAATAGTTATTTTACTTTAAACATTATCATAAACGTTTACGATACTTCGAATCTTGAAATTCCAATTACATGCATTTAATATTACCTTTATACACTATCAATACATTATAGATGCAATATAAATACACTTTAAATACAGTATAAATACACTTACAACACGTATCGTGCATTAACGTCACAAGGCAGAAAACGCACGTCCTAATGACTAAACCGTCATCGTCTCACATAATGAATCTGTACGAACTACAATAAATACAATAGAGTAATAGAATAAAGTATCACAACAAATGCATAACGCTTAACTTTTACAATAAATATATAACTTAAAATGGGATCACGAATACCCGAACCTTCATTCCAGAATAACATATTTAGTATCAAACCGGTCATCAAATCAACGATTCATTAAAACATATTATTTAACCATTCACACTTATCATACACGCGGGAAGATACATACTGAGGAATAGAGTTAATATAGAATCAAACTAATTGAAATAGACATTTCAACTTACCGAAAATAGACCTGTTAATATCAAGCTGAATCTTCCGACCTGTTCTCCTTTCAAATCAATTTCAAAAAGTGCCCGAAAGCTTAAACAAACCTACACGAGTACTAACGACACAAACTTTCGACCAACCAAATAGCTTCGTCAAAGTCCGTCAAGTCCGTCACGTGTCTTACCTGTCACTGACCACAACTCACATTTCAAACGCCACAATACATGTACATATATACACGTACAAACAAAGCGCCGCGCCCGCACGAATAAATCCAGCGCGGAGCGTAAAGATAAGACATTACGTCTTGCGTCGTGAATTATATAAACACGGACATTATTACAAATATTTCATTCATGAATAAATGTGTATGAATACATATGCTATATAGTATGAATACAACATATTACAAACAATACATTCAAACATATATTATATTATATGAATACTTGTAATTGAGCAAATTATGCCTAAATAAATCGACCCTGTTACACTAGGATACGGGTTTAAAATTATGTATTATACCATTGACTACAACTATTATAATTCATCCATTATATTTTTTCTGATACTTTCTATGAAATCACATTTTTTCATAATGCTAAAATTCATGTCAAACTTAGATTACATGGAAAAATCGATGAACAGTACTCGCTTTGGTTAACGGAATGAACTATTACTGATTTCATAGTAAAATGTGCAGAAGAATTAAATTATAGTCATAACGTTACATATGTGGCAAGGGCTTTAGTAACCCATTGTTACATGTTTAGGCCATCTCCTTGGTTCCTTGAAGATGGGTAACGTATTTTAACATGTTCTGGCATACGATTTTACTCAACATCTTGATTGTATTGCATGGATATTATGAATAAATAACTGAAGCTAGGCACCTGTACTTTTTTATCTGACGTTTCCGATATATCACTTTAACAAAACACCCGTGAAAAGAACTGATTGATATTATTTAAATTTTGAGTCGAGCAATACTTTCTTAATAAAACGTGTTTTTATTTTTTCCAGGCAGTCAATTAACCATATATTTCCGTTAAAATGATATATGTCACGGTTAACCTTGTTTTTCAGAAGCCCTTCGTTTCCGATAATTTTCTTGAACAACGCAATGCCCACTCGACTGTCCACCGCACTTAGGTGATCGTCCAGTAAGTAGACGTCAGCATTGTTGTATACCGTTCTAGACAGACTGACCCTCTGCTTTTGACCACCACTTAAGTGTATACCCTTTATAATCGTCAGATAAGAATGGCGGAATGAGAACGTCATGTTATTGGATTTAACGAGTATCGGGCATGGATATGACGTGGATTTCGTATTCGTATTTATCTAAACTAACGGGTGGAGTTTAAGTGGATGCAAGCGTGATTTTCCTGCATAGACTTCATCTTTATCAGAACCAGGGAAACACTCATTCAGCGAAACAATAAGGACGTAGCACACGTTGTCCTTGATTAAAGTGTTGTTCTACTGTTCTCTTTCCTTAAAGTTGCTGACAAGAAACACTATTCACCCGTTGGTGTTACTGTTACAGTGTCGATATGCCACCAGCAAATTCAAATCTGATTGGTTTAGATTTGATCTCGAAGGACCTTACACAAACCAACCTTCTACGTCATCAAAGTATATGACGATACCGGAGGTGAGGTCATTGGCATCCTGTGCCATATACAGTTTTGAACAATCATGTGTAGAGTTTGTCTACAAACCGGAAACACAATGTGATGACAGCTCATTTAGGGGAGGTTGACGGCAGCAATCCATCGTGATTCGCCTAATTTTATCAAAACCAAATGCTATGTGTGTGTCACATAGATCGCAGGACCTTGAATGACAGTTGTATTTAACTTACTCGGCGGAATATTTATTATATTAATTATAATAATTATAATAAACAACATCTGATTTAGCGCCATATCTAGCTTGCATAAGCAACTCTAAAACGCTTCACAGTAGATAGATATACAATGAATACAAATAGTATATACAATAATCAATACAAATTTTAGGAAGCTGCATTATCAGGTGCTAACTACTTGTCATGTGCCACCTGGCTAATATCTCTCTATGTGTGTATGCCTGCTTTTGTGCCGGATATGAAACGTGTTCTGTTTGTAATGGGATCGTGCTTCTACGGCATCATTGATAGTGCCTCCTCTCTTGAATGCTACATTACAGATTGCTCAATATCCCGTCCAGATCAATTAATACTCTACCTGGGTATTTGGCGTTGTGTAGGCAGGAGAAAAAAGCACTTTTCTCTGAATATCAATGCGTATGACGACTTCGGGGATCGAACCCCGGCCGAATGCACCGCGTGGAACGCTGGTGAGTTAACAACTCCAGCAATCGCCCATAACCAAAGACATACATATTATGGATGTGTATATGTTGCTGGTTGTAGACGAACATATTTTCCGTATATATTAGAAAGACAATAGAGAGGAAAGGTATGTATATAAAACTGCAAAGATGAACTAAATTCTTGTGTTGCAGGTAATTGCAGTTACAATTTCACTAGAATCTGCGTTAATTAAGCTATATCAGCATTATTCCTGTACTTTTTATAGTATATTGAGATGTGTACGTTATTGTTTTGTTAAAAGAACTTTTAATATTTGTCTGTTTATGACTGTTCTAATTTGCATTTTCAGATTTGGTAAAACTTAAAAATCGCACATCAATAGTATAGACTATTTCTGTCAGGAATTCATGGTTCAAACGGGCTTTCGAAATTTTCGTTACCTTAGGTGTCAGATCAATATTCGTAAGGAAAGATCATATTTAAACAAAATATTTTCAAATTGTTTCAAAGACGTTTAACATACCAAATGCTTCCTATTCAAAACCTACGCATCGTCTTCTACATTATTGCAATGGAAACAAGAGTGAATTTCGAAGTTCAAACAAAACTAACGATTAACTGATTAAATATACCAACAGCGCTCTATTGGTCTCGATCCTGAACAAGATAGCGTCCCTGACCTGTCTAAGTATACAGGAGCGATGCTATCGGAGAGAAATGGTTTTGATACAGGCATTCCAGTCCATCTCGTACATTAGAATCACAGTAAAACTCGTATTGCATTCGTGTATGTATTTAGAGAAGGATACCACAGAATCGTCCTATTTCTTACCATTATTATTTCATTTGTTTTACTATTAGTAAAGCCATACATGTCTTACTAGTTGAAAGTATTCAAATGCAAAATATGTTTGCTTTATCTGCATTTTTCGTTTTGTTGGACGACTTGCATTTGGAAAATCGCTTATCGCTAGACGAGAAACTGTTGGATTTAGAGAAGACGCTAACATGTTGTTTCGTAATTACTTTTTAAAACCAACAGGTGGAGTTCGGGTGACGACACCGAACATGTTATATAGCCCCAATATTACCTCGCTGATAAAACTGAAGACGTTTTGACGTTTGCTTGATATGACCATACATTTATTTTGATATCTTCGAAGCTTTGAGCGCTTCTCTGGTTCTTCGAAATGTGTGGCTTTTGCCATAGGCCGATGATTGCATGGGATAGAAAACGAAGAAAACAATCACAAAAACATTTCTTTAGTACTTTTATCTCTTCAGGGAGATTTTGCATACTGCTTATTTTAAGGAACAATTATAAGATAGGATGTCTCAAATAGGTCGTCAAAGTAATATCATAGCAATAAAAGCACACGTGGTCTTCAGGAAAAGAGTATCATCAATCGAGGATTCAGTAATACTTTGATAATAATGTTCATGTGCATTCATCTTTCTTCGCCCCACGTTTGAATATGTCTGTATCGTTCATTTGATACAAGCGCAGGCATGTATTATACGTTTACAAAAGTAAACTGTCTTTTAGTACTTGCTGTCTATGTACATTCTGGTTCGTTACTCACTGTCCGTCAGACTGATATAAAAATCCAAACAATTGTTACAAATCAAAACATAACTATAACATAACTGAACGTACAGATAATATGTTTTTTTTAGCTTAAATTAAAACCATTTGTAACTTAATATCGTTTCCTTCTATAACCAGGTTTTAAGTACCACAACTTATATTATTACAACTTATGTTGTTGGTTATATTAATATAATGAGCAAAAATAAGTCTTCGAATTTCACAATTGTACATGCTTGAAATAACAATTGGAATTCAAACATGTGGAAGACTATACAAATACGATATTCCATAACTGATTTTAAAACAATGAAACCAACAAATTATTTAGCTCTTGTTTCTTTAAGTCATTGTAATTTCGAAGACATTAAAGGCTATCGATTCGTGGATTGTTTTGAAAGTTTGTATCGTTGACTCTTGTCTGTTCGATTATAAGCGTAATACAAATTCGAAAGTAATCAGCTTACTAACGTGCTCATTTTATATGCTTGAAACGAGTTGAAAGACACGGATGTAATTGTGATCGTCTATACCGCTAGTATTAGTGATCACAAATGTGTCACCACAAATAGCTATGGCTCGTGGATATTCCATTCCATCTGATGACGTCAGCAGTTCTCTGACGTGGGTGCCGTCTCCAAACATCTGTACGACGTTTTGTGAACTATCACCACACACGTAGATGTTACCCTCTCTGTCCACGTCTATTCCCATAGCTCCCCTCAAAACACCGACCTTCATTACATCCGTACGACGTTTGTCAGACGACAGTCTAGACACCGTGACTTTCCCCGCGGTAGTATTACTGAGACTGACAAGTGTGTCTCTCTTTGCTGGATCATGTGCCAGGGACCAGCAATCATTGTTATAGTTATATAACAACTGAGCCTTTCTACCCTGCGTCACACTATATACTTCTCCACTTAAGCTCACGACAAACCTCCCGTCTGTATGTGTTATACCATCACAGTATTTACCATGAGGCATGTTGATCTCATACGACAGGGAGAGCTTCGATGCCTTGACATTCACGACGTGTACACAACCAGAACTGCTGACAGCGTCCGCCACTGTGTTGTTGTTTACAAGACATATATCCCAAGGATTGAGCCCTACGGTCAACTCGTCCAGGCACTGTCCTTTATCTGAAAACAACTTCAGTTTTTTGTTGTTGTAATCACTCCCAACTATTTAGGCACATGGCAGGTACACAACACCAAGAACACGGCAATGTTTTTAATCTGACGGGGACTTGATATTGAACCTTCCAATTTCTTTCACACGACGTTCTGACAAGGGGGGCGTAATATCACACCGTTGACAAGGGATGCATCGTGATTCTTTGGCGACGACGATCTTTCCCATACCGTTATCACTAATGATATCATGTCCAGAGACAATTTGATGCTCGATGCTGACGGACGTGAATGACTTGCTAAACTCCGTGATCAGGGTCATACACGACTCCACTTCTGCCTTACCTCTCTGATACAAAACTATCGTGTCGATGTGGTCGTTTTCCTCTACGGCTTTATTGGACGACCTCAGGGTATTGAGCATCCCATACATCAGGCGTTCACACTGTCGTAATGATGCCTCCTTCTTCCCTTTCTCTTCTTTGAACAGCATGGTCAACTTGTCGGTGATGTCTTTCTGGAGCTTGTTCAATCGTTTGTCGACCTTTTTACGTAGATCTGAGATACTCTGCAGTGCAGTTTCTTGGTTCTGTGTCATGGTTTTGAGTTGTTCTTCAAAGTCCTTCACTAATGTATCCATGACGTCTCCCCCTTTTTTGAGCACCGCCCGCATTTCATTTAGTTTTGTTCCCGCTTTTAGTTTTAGAAAATATTCTTTCACTGTTGAAACCTCTTCACAACGCCTGTGGTCTTTAAAAAAACATATGTTGCAGCACAGAAGTTGGTGGTCCTCACAATACCAAACTATTTTCTTGCCGTGTCGGTCACATCGAGGGGCAGATTTTTTAGGTTGAAATCGGTTGTTTTTGTTCATGGTGAAATCGACTATGCCGCAGTCAGTATGTATGACATCATGTAGTTCAACCTTACAAGTCTCGCAAAAATTATCGTTCATCGAATTACACCAGAATTTTGCTGGAATGTTCAGGTTACCTTTTGTCTGACAGGGTTTGCAGCACAATGGTTCAGATGAACGTTCTCTGAGCTGGATAAGGTCCTGGATCACATTATTAGTCGGGAACTGCTCTGCCCATTTATCCTTGGTTTCTCTTTGGTGAACAGGAGACGTCATTCTCCTACATACTGGACAAGGGAAAGATGTTGCTGACGCCATTTTCCCGGTCAGTTCCTTGGTGATATACGTCCCGAGACAATCCTGATAGAAGGAGTGGAGACATGGTAAGGACTTGGGTTGTTGAAGTTTCTCCAGGCAGATTGAACATTTCTGTAGGTGTAAGTCCAGTTCCGGAGGGAGACCGCCTTCAGCCATTGTAAGAGTCAGTAAGGATCAACAAACACCTTCAACGTAAAACAAATGCAATAATAATCAAATGCCAATATAATAATAAGCTTTAGTGACACGTTGAACATTTGTATGTTCGCTACTGTATAAATACCGATGCATTTTAATTTCATCTCATTTCCAGCAGTTGACAGCGTAATTTCTGTATTGTGATTTAGGACTAAGTCCCTAAGGCTGGAACCAGATCCCTCGATCTTATGTTCGTCTTTGAAGGTCTAGTAATGTTCATATTTGTTTTTGTTTGCGCGGATCTTTTCATTTTGTTTAAATATTTGATCACACACACACTCCAAAAATGTGCAAAACAATTATCGATCGCCGTTCATAATACCGTGTTATAGTGTATTTGTTTAAGCGGTGCATATGCATACACTTTAATATTAATTGTGACAAAACCATTTTACGTACCAAGGGAGACAAATCGTATCCGTCTTTGGTTGCTAACATATACACGACAACATTGTTTTCAAGTGAAAGCTCGTGTTTTATCAAGTTACATAAACGTAAATGAAACTAACGATATTTCAATTAAATTAATTAATCCGTTTTGAACAGGCTACACATCACTTTAATTAAAGGAGTTTCGATTTGTGTATATCAAACATCTGCATTGAAGTACATACAAAACAGTTATATACAGTGATGCTCGGGAATTTGTTTTCATTGTAATGACTTTAGCATACAACGAAAACTTATTTAAAAAGTAAGCTCGCAAGGCTTTGTATTTTTGGCAAAAACCCAATCCGAACTGACATAAACATTTTATATGCAGTTATGAAGTCAACTTAAAAACAGTGTATATTTACACCTGTTATCCGTCACTGAACAAGGAAATATGTTTGGCGTTTTATATGTATCGAAAAGGTGAGCTGGTATCCAAATTCTGGATACTTCATTGAATACACACAATTACATACAAAGTTTATGAATGACGGTACAACATTAAAAATGTATATAACTATGCTAAGGGTTACACGTATGATGCTGTATACTAAATACATAAAGAGGTAAAGTCTCTACCAGTAAATATTATTAAATAGTACAAGGCCAATGGCCTCGTATATTTTCCCTTTTCTTTTCTTCATTTTAATGATTGAAGCATACAACGAATACATACGTGAACATTAAGCTCGTCATGCTTTGTATTTTGTACTGGCAAACTCCAGGCCGTACAAACAAAACACCATTCTATGTGCATTTCGATCAACTTTAGAATAATATTCTGTCAAAGCATATGAACTTAAATTAGTACGTTTTAATCTTAGCTTAGTAAGGCAGAAAATAAAAAAACACCCAGAAGAAATGGTTTCGAAAAGCAAAAACTTAACAAGGAAAAGACTGTGTGTTTGTGTGAGTGATTGTGTGTGTGTACGTGTGTGTGTGTACGTGTGTGTGTGTGTGTGTGTGTGTGTGTGT